AAGCGTCTATCCCGACGTTCTTTGTGGTTCAACCGCAGGTCTGGGCTGGACGATGATCCTCATCGTCGCGTTGACTATGGTGTTCTACGTTTCACCGGTGGCCTACTGCGTCATATACCTGACTGCCATGTTCCAGGCCGAGCTTCCATGGAACAGCTGCGGCGGAGGAGACCACGGCGCCGACGAGCGTGACTGCTACCACGTCAAGCCCGGCACGGTGAGGGCCGCGCTGCTGGGGCAGAAGCGAGCCACATAGCCTAGATGCCTTTCATTACGAGCTACAGCCGATACCATTATTGGATGCATACAAAAGTGAACAGGCCACAGAGCCGAATGCACATGTTTGTCCGTGCCGCAGCTCTCCGACACGTTCACGTGCGAACGTGGTCGGTCCAGCGAACCAATGCGTCTAACAGAGGAATGTTTACCTGCGCTCGTGGTCTCGAAAGACGACGCCTCATGTTGCGACGCCTGCTACATCTTGTAGCCGGTTCCGGAATGTTAAGCGTTTCACGCACTGATTTTTCTCTTGCTTTCCTTGATAGGGCTGATTTTCTGAAGATTACGTCTTTATGATATTCCTTTCGTAAACGCTTCATCAAGAAAGCCCGACCGGTGGCGTACATTAAACACGTGCAGCAAGCCTTGCATAACGTTGTCTTGTTGTCTTCAGTGTAGCGGAAGGTGAAGCATGCGGCGGACGGACCACGTGCAGCGAAACCACGAAGCCGAAAAACATGCAGTAAGGAACTGCTTGACTCGCAATACCAAGCTGCCATGTGGCAGCCAGCCATTAGGGTGTTCAACAGGGCCAAAATATCTTTGAGTGACTATTGTTTATGAAAATTCGCGTGTCAAAGCGCGGAAAAGCCGCTCACAAGTCTCTTTTTACATTGCTCGCCACAAGTATAGAGCGCACCGATGCCTGCGTGCTCCGTAGTTTGAACTCAGTCATTTCCGTTCAACAGCCACTATCGAAACCGAGCAATTACGCAATTCAGTGCATCTGCCCAGCTGGATATATATATATATAAAGTAAGGCTTGAATTTTTCAGAGCCCCCGCCGCGGTGGTCTAGTGGCTAAGGTACTCGGCTGCTGACCCGCAGGTCGCGGGTTCGAATCCCGGCTGCGGCGGCTGCATTTCCGATGGAGGCGGAAATGTTGTAGGCCCGTGTGCTCAGATTTAGGTGCACGTTAAAGAACCCCAGGTGGTCTAAATTTCCGGAGCCCTCCACTACGGCGTCTCACATAATCATATGTGGTTTTGGGACGTTAAACCCCATATATCAATCAATCAATCAATTTTTCAGAGTACCGATTGCTAGCTACTACACTAGCGGTGCTCATTTTAATAATGCGGCTATTCGGGTTCATTCTTAAACACCTTGTTGATGAATCGCAGCGCATAAAATCACAAAAATAGAAAAAAAAAAGAAAACTGATGAGCGCCAACTTCCAACATAAACTGGCACATACCACGTACTGTGGGAATCGATGATATTCGTATCACGTGACAATATCTGTAGAGCTAACGAAACGACCGCGACCACGCTATGAGCGTATCATGTAGTCATGTTTTGAATCACACGCATGTCATTATTATCATGATGGACATGTTATTTACCTTCTTCACCTATTCACGTCATGCGATACCAAATTTGGTATATGTGGAGCCAGCGAAACGGCCACGGGCATGTTATGAGCATATATCATATGTCACGAATGACACGCATATCATGATTATCATGTTTGGATGTGTCATTTACCTTCGTCGTGCACTCACGTCACTTATTATTAAGTTTGGTGAAGCTAGCGGAACGACCGCGAGCGTATTATGAACATGGCATGAAGTCATGTTCTTACATGACACGCATCTCATGATTATCATGTTTGCAGTAGTCATATATATCTTCGTAATTCACTGACATCACATCACACCAAATTTGGTATATTTGAGCTAGCGAAACGACCACGAGCACACCATCAGTGTGAAGTGTAGTCATGAGTAGTCATGTCATGGAGATCATGACATGCATCTCACGATTTCTACGTTAGGGCCTGTCACTTATGCTCGTCATGCAGCCATGTCATACCATACCAGTTTTGCAAAATCTCATGTGAATAAAACCATCGCAAGAGCAGCAAGATCACGAAATGTAAATCATTAAATTCATGACATCCATGTCACGATTTTCATGTTATGGCTAGTAAAATATGTTCCTCAAACAGTCATGTTATGCCATACCAAGTTTCGTAACGATACCATTATCGAAACGGCCAGGAGAGCTAAAAGCCGCAGGTGGCTGGATAGATAGATAGATAGATAGATAGATAGATAGATAGATAGATAGATAGATAGATAGATAGATAGATAGATAGATAGATAGATAGATAGATAGATAGATAGATAGATAGATAGATAGATAGATAGATAGATAGATAGATAGATAGATAGATAGATAGATAGATAGATAAGATAGATAGATAGATAGATAGATAGATAGATAGATAGATAGATAGATAGATAGATAGATGGATGGATGGATGGATGGATGGATGGATGGATGGATGGATGGATGGATGGATGGATGGATGGATGGATGGATGGATGGACGGACGGACGGACGGACGGACGGACGGACGGACTTCTCGTTAGAGAAATCCGTGTTTGTGCACACAGAATTTATTGCATTTAACGGTGTGCACAGCTTCATGAGCAGAGATTGAGCAACGAAACACGCTGCACGCTTTAACGACAAATGCGTTGATTCATAAATAAAACTGGCATCCGTCATGCATAAAACACGATATACGTCGACGCTTAGTGGCAAAGCTCCATCCGGAAGACTAAGGTCTAGGATCAATGAATAGACAAACCATTGTGGTAGTCGTAATAGTTAGCGAGAAGAGCATAATCAGAAGCTTGGTATTGTTTCAATTCATAGTCTTTTTCTTCTGAGCTCGTGCCTCTATTCAATCTCAAGGCGATTATCGGTCTCTCTTTCCTGTACACAGTACGCGTGTTCCAAGGTGAACGAGACCCTGGCCCGGCGATACCGTTCGCACAACTACAGCGGCGAGAGTGTCATCGTGGTCAGCGGCAGCGTAGTCCAGGAGCCCGTCTCGGTGCCCGTACGAGAATACGAAGCCCTGCGCAACAACTGCGTCAGCGGCACCGTGTCGGCAGCCGAGGCCTTCTACACGTAGGACACGCGCACTTCTGGGTAGCGGTAGCTGCATGCAGGTTTTCGAAAGCAAACTCGGGAAAGATTTTTCAAGAGTTTCTTAGAGATTCTTCAACGAGAGAGTCTGCCGAGAAGGAAAATAAAGCTGACTGATATTGGCTTGCCTATACACACTGTGATAGGCGCACGACAGATTGGGGAAAAAAAGAGAAACATGAAAACTTCAATGGCTGCTGCGAGGTTGCACGATTAAGATGTTGCTGGCATAACGACGGTTTGCAACGAGTATAAGAGGTAGTTGAATCCGGTTAAAAGCAGATTTTATAACCTCTCCTTACAAACAATAAGTGGAAGAAGGTGGCTTCGAAATACGTTTTTGGAAACGAGAAGATAATGTCAATACTGGGCCAGCTGGTTACGTCGTCAGCACTTGTCAACATCATTGGTGAGCCATTTAATTTTTGTAGAAACCACGAGCAAACGCTTTTTCATGACGGTGAACGGATGGTATGTTGGGCCGCTGCAGTTAACAGAGTCTGAATCTGCCCGCTCATATGATCGCTTTCATACGCTGACGGTCTTGCCTTCGATATGACTGCGTGCAGCGCGGAGGTTCGATGCCTGCAACCCCGCTGACAGAACCATTCATCGAGCGTTTCTGAGACATTTTTATCCCAGCTCTACAGATACTGGAAAGAAAACCAATCGATCATTTTAGTGCGCTTTACACTAATTTTGTGCTAAGGTTGGAAAAGATGTACTGCGCTGGTCCAAAGTTTCCAGGCCGCGCTGTAATAGCACTACAGTGGCCTGAGAACATTTGACCACCATTGTATGCGTGTTTGCGCAGTGAAGCCCCTCCCCCCCCCCTCCCATACAAAAGGTGTACAAAATTGTGCAGAAAAGATGTGAATTCGGGCATTTGATGTGAATTTAAGTAACTCTAACATTCTGACCAGACGTGCAGTAAGTTAACTGCAACCCCAAGTATAGTGCACCAGAATTCATTAGAATAAGCAACTGAAATCAGAAGTTAAATTAAAACCGCAGTAGATACCGAGCGTCCGGTGACCGGCCGGACGTGCTTTAGCAGTAGCTAGGTAAATTTGGAAGTGAGGTGAGAAAACAGTAAAAGAGATGCACCCCCCCCCCCCCCAACACACACACACTGCGCCATGGAGTAATGCTGACGTATCGTATTTATCGGTAATGGACGATGATTATTTCTTTTTCACGTAAGTTCCGCTTACAATCCAGGTCATATAACTTTCAATGGTGAATTAATCGATTCCTGTACCGCTAGGCATCATTACTGAGTTCTTAGTAAGCTGATCTCTGTGCCACTCTTTTTTAGTAATCTGACGGTTAAAACACAGCGCGAAACGCATTGAACGAAATCGGCATAGTTGACTGGAGCGCTCCTTTTGTCATTGTGTACATTCTCACCTCATCTGTATCGCTATTCAAATGATATGCCAGCTAGCTACTTCTCTAAAGTACCGACTACTTTTGGTAAAAAATTCTACGATAGGTGCCTTCACTCTCTTGATAGCCATTAAGAATTTAGTGTAGTTCTTGCCTTTATTCTCTTTTTGTTTTCTAAAAATATTTTACTCGGTGTTTTGAACCATTACATTTGAAATCCCTGCTTTATAATCATGTACTGCTACCGGAGTTCACAACATATCAAACACTGCTGTGTTGACGCTACTATTGGAGCTGATTTTAACGCACAACGACGCAGGCGACGCGTCGCACGATCGGACTTTCAAAGCGAAGGCTTCACTGACTCGAGTGCTTTTTCGATTATGGCCATGACCGTCGCCTGGGCCCTACTCTTCGTCATGATCTGCATGGGACTGCGCTCGATGAAGAAGGTATGCGACGGCTGCATTGGTTTCTGCGGGAAATTGTTGCTCGATAAGCAATAATGATAGAAGCAACAAGGACGAAGACATATTTATCTGTACTTGTTTACACCGTCAAAGAGAAGGAAAGCCCAAAAAGTCCTGCATATCTATCTATCTATCTATCTATCTATCTATCTATCTATCTATCTGTCTATCTATCTATCTATCTATCTATCTATCTAATATATAACCCTTAAGCGTTTTCAAATGATATGACATAAGCTAGTTACTTTACTAATATGTATAATATTTGTCCATTACGAATCTTCCAAGTATACGAACACACTAACGCAGTAACGGTGACAGAAATGCCTGCGCAAAATACCTCTGAGCGTGCTCCTTTAGCTTGAAGCTCTTCTCTTTGTGCTGATAATTGCTGATAATGCCAATAATGCCAGTGAAAGCAGCTTACGGGTGGGGAGTAATGCGAGAAGGACGCGCTACAAAAAAACTTCGTGGCAGGGCCTAATAGATTATGTGGCAGTATTACAAGGAAGGTACATAAAAGCTACACCTTACTGGTACTTATATACGAAGCAGAAGCCTGGAGCAGCCCCGCCACGGTGGTCTAGTGGCTAAGGTACTCGGCTGCTGACCCGCAAGTTGCGGGATCAAATCCCGGCTGTGGCGGCTGCATTTCCGATGGAGGCGGAAATGTTGTAGGCCCGTGTACTCAGATTTGGGTGCACGTCAAAGAACCCCAGGTGGTCAAAATTTCCGGAGCCCTCCACTACGGCGTCTCTCATAATCAAATAGTGGTTTTGGGACGTTAAACCCCACAAGTAAATCGAAGCCTGGAGCATTACAAAGAGGGTTCAACGTGAGTTGAGGATGACGCAGCGAGCAATGGAAAGGAAAATGATAGGTGTAAACCTAAGGGACAAGAAAAGAGCGGTGTATATCAGAGAACAAACAGGTGTTAAGGACATCATAGTCGAAACAAGAAGTGATCATGGGCAGGGCACCTAGCACGAAGGCAAGATAACCACTGGTAATTAGAGGTCACAAACTGGATTCCCAGGGAAGGCAAGCGGGTGAATGGAAGGCAGAACGCTAGGTGGGCAGATGAGATTACGATGTTTGCGGCTTTAAAGTGGCAGCAGCAATCACATGACCGAGTTTACTGGCAGAACATGGGAGAGGCATTTGTCCTGCAGTGGGAGTAGTCATGCTGATGATGATTATGATGATGAATGCCAGACAAGGTCATAGTAATATGTGGGGTTTTGCGTCCCAAAGCGAACATATGATCATCAGAGACGCAGTAGTGGACGGCTCCTGACATTTCGACCATCTGATGTTCTTTAACGAGCACTCGCACAGTACACGGGCCGCTACCCTTTAGCTTCCATGGAAATGTAACCACCGCGGTGGGAATCGAACCCGTGACCTTTCGGTCAGCAGCCAATCACACTAACTACTGCTCCACCGCGGCGGACGCCAGAGGAGGCTAGAGAAGCATGGAGTGAGATTTGACAAGCAAATGGCTCGTAGAATTCTGTCCAGATGTTTCACTTTCTAATTCGTTGCCCATCACACCAAAGTCACCTAAGCAATAGGGCGAGGGATCTTCCAAATCTGGTAAAGGTGACGTGGCACTTCTGATGAGAGTAAGCGCCATTCTAAGCAATGTTTCGCGTGTTGTGCAGTTCTCGACGCTGATGCTGGCTGTGCGGTTGACGCTGCTGGCTGCGTTGTGCGTGGCTTCATCGTCGCTTAGTGGAGCGGGGCATGGCGTACTCGTGCTACTGCGTCCGGACTTCTCCAAGGCCTACTCGGAAAAGGTGATGCAGGGACGCGAAATAGCACGATGGTATTTATCGTAAGCCGCTAAAATATCATACTGGTCCGTAGCTGTCGGCAGGAGTATGTCGGCATAATTGAGGCACACGCGAAAGCATTATACATAAGTTATCGCTTTTTACTTCACCTTTTTTTTTAAATGCGAAGCATTTCTTAGCGAACTTCGGTGACCTTGAGCGTATCTATCTGTCTATCTATCTATCTATCTATCTATCTACGTATCTACCTACCTACCTACCTACCTACCTACCTACCTACCTACTTACCTACTTACCTACCTACTTACCTACCTACCTACACCTACCTAACTACCTACCTACCTACCTACCTACCTACCTATGTAACCGCCTATGACTCAGTCCTCCTGGCCGTTTCAATAATGCTATCAATACCAAACTTGGTATTACATAACATGACCGTATGAAGAGCATATTGGACTAGTCATAACATGAAAATCACGACATGTATGTCATGGTTTACATTTCATAGTCCTGCAGCTCTTCCGGTGGTATTGTTCACATGGCATGTTGCAAAACTGGTATGGTATGACATGATTACATGGCGAACACAAGCGACAGACCCCAACATGAAAATTATGACATGAGTATCATGACTACATGCCACGTTCATGCTGTGCTTGCGGCCGTTTTGCTAGGGTCTCATATAACAAATTTGGTATTACGGTACGTGAATGTATGAACAAGGTATATGACTGGTGCAAACATGATAATCATGAGATGCGTGTCGTGTAACATGACTACACGCCACGCTCATAATGCGCTGGCGGCCGTTTCGCTAGCTTCACTTATACCAAATTTAGTATTACGGGACGTGAATGGATGACGAAGGTATGATACTGGTGCAAACATGATAAACATGAGATGCGTGTCATGTAGTAGTAGTAGTAGTAATAGACTTTTATTCAGCCAAATTTACAGGTCGAGCATTTCGACCGCCTGTGCGATCAGTCGACGCTGTTCTTCTTCCCCTTCGGCGCCGATCCAGTCGAGCCAGGAGGTGATGGAAAGGGATGGGGGAGGGTAATAGCTGGATTGCTGAGCAGTTGGGCAGTAAAACAGGCAGTGTGACAGGTCAGCGTATGGGGAGGGACAATTAGGACAGCAGGGGTTAGACCTATATTTATAAAGGAAAAGGCGAGAGGGGGTTATCAAGCAGTTCATTTGGATGTGCCGTAGAGTTCGAGCCTCGAGCGCCGTGAGTGATGGATGAGGGGGAGGGTAAAGACACTTGTCGAGCCGGAGCTGGAGATATACCTCCTTGATAGTGTGGCGCAAGAATATCTGCCCATCGTTATTCGCGGAGCTCTCACTGTCTTCCGAAGGTGTGGGCCAGGGAATGAACGGTGCCCGGTGCAATATATCGCGGGCAAGCTGATGAGCTAGCTCATTGCCGTTAATACCCGAATGCCCAGGAACCCAGCGGAGGAAGACAGTGGAGGGTTGAAGAGCAGAGGCCGCTCGCTCGACCTCCTGTTGAAGAGCAGGGGGCAACGTGTTGTTCTGTATGTGACGGATGGCGGCGTGAGAGTCGCAGTAAATCGTGTACTCGGGGAGAGAAGGGAGGGAGGAAAATGACTGCATGGCGTGGACCATGGAAAGGACCTCGAGCGAAAGTACATTTGGCGGGTGTAAGTATGGCCCGCTGGTGTGCGTGTCAGGTGCCGAAAGGTGTGGATGGTAGATAACGTAGCCACACGATCCCCGAGGAGCCATGTATGAGGCATCTGTGTAGGCAACTCCCTGTGTAGAGAGAGGAGGAGAATGATGCTGTGCTGCCGCATGACGCCGGCCGGCGTGAAGAACGGGAGACATATTGGATGGGAGGGGAAGGATGCGAAGGTTAGAAGCAGCGGTGCTAGCGGCAGAAGGCAAGGTGGGAACGGAAACGGGAATGTGAGGGATACCAGCTTGGGCTAATAGCCATTGGCCTTGACGAGTGAGAGAAAGACGGGCAATCTGAGAGTCGTGGTGCAGAGAAATAAGAGAACGTAATGGATGGAAGAGGCCTGTGGCAAAGAGCTTAGTGGTAGAGGTAGTGAGAGGGAGGTTTAGAGCTGCCTTGTAGAGGCCTAATAGAGCTCTTTCGAGTGTGTTGAGTTGCGTTTCGGTGAAATGAACGTAGGGTACAAAGTACAAGAACTTGTTAAGGGCAAGCGCATGTGCAACCCGGCACGCATGAGACTCGTGGAGCCCCGACTGCCGAGTGACAACGCGTCGCAGGAGGTGGGTCACCGAATGGCAAGTCCTCACAGCGTGATGTAGGGCCTGCGCGTTCTTTGTCGCGTGCAAAGGGAAGCCAAGAACTTTGCATTGCTGAACAGTGGGGATGAGAGAGCTAGAAAGATGTAGGGAGATGAGGGTATTGTGGGAGCGCTGGTACGCAGACCGGTTTAGCAAAAGTAGTTCACATTTCTCCGGTGCAGGGGACAGGCCAGCAGTAGCGAGAAAGGAAGCGATAAGGTCCAGGCCACGTTGCAAAGTATCCTGCACGTGGCCGGGACATCCAGACGTACACCAGAGAGTGATGTCGTCTGCATAAAAAATATGGTGGAGGTGAGGTATTTGGGACAGTTGGGAGGCAAGGGGGGCCATAGCCATATTAAATAGAGTAGGAGATAGTACGGCACCTTGAGGAGTGCCGCGGGTGAGGGAGTGTGGGTTAGACAAATGAGTATCGACTCTGAAGCGAGCAACTCGATTGGAAAGAAATGATCGGATGTAAGAATACATGCGGGAGCCACATGACAGGGAGGAGAGCTGAGCGAGTATGTGGTCATGACTCACGCCATCGAATGCCTTCCGTACATCGACGTTTACAAGCGCATGGATCTGACTACGAGAAGGTGAAAGAAAAGTATGCTGAAGAACAAGGAACATGTCCTGCGCACAAACGTGGCGTCGGAAGCCAATAAGAGAAGGAGGGAAAATCTCTTTCGCCTCAATAAAATCAGACAATCGGGTCAAGGCCATTCGTTCAAGAGTCTTGCCAACGCATGACGTCAAAGAGATAGGGCGAAGGTTAGAGAGAGATGGAGGTTTGCCGGGCTTCGGAATCATGCAAATTAGAGATGATGTCCAAGAGCTTGGAAGACAGCCGCTGTTCCATGCTTCGTTGAATGTGTGTAAGAGAAATTCCTTCGCGTTGTCGGGGAGATTACGTAATGTAGTATATGTTATCTCATCCTCACCGGGTGCCGAGCGGGTAGATTGAGTGGCTAAGGCAGCTTCCAGCTCCCTGAGCGTGAATGGGCGGTCCAGGTCTGGGTTAGCTTCGCCACAGTAATCTGGGTAGGAAGGTGTGAGGGGGGGGGTGGGAGATACAGAGATTTTAAATTTTCAAACACATCAGATGGAGTCCCTTGAGTGAGAGCTTTAGCTAGGGTGGGAGCAACAGCAGGCTTGGTACCTAAGAGAGACCTAAACAGAGACCATGTAGAGCGCGAGTGCAGTGCGGAGTCAAGGCCGTCACACAGCGTGTTCCAACGAGAGTGCTAGAGAGAAGTGCCGTAAGCGATAATTTCAGCCCGCAGAGCATCAATTCGGAAGGAAAGTTGGAAGTTGTGTGGCTGCGAGTGGAGAGCGCGTTTCAAACGTTTATGACGTCGCCATAATCGGAGGAAGTGAGGATCAGGGTCAGGAATGGGGAGTTGAAAACGAGCGCGGCGACTACAGGATGTCATTGCTGCGGAGATCCGCGACGCCCAGTCGTCGTAAGTTTTAAATGAGTGAGACAAAAGGTTATTACGGAATGCTTCCCAGTCAGTGTGAGCGACTCGTTGTTTCCGCCTATTGTGGGAAAGAGGGGTGGTGATGTGTATGAGAAAGTGATCACTGAAAAAATTTTCAGCATAGACCTGCCAGTGGAAAGGAAGGGAACTCCGAGAGAACGTGAGATCGGGTGTAGTGGAACGCTGTGAAACAGTGCCCGCTCGAGTAGGGGTGTCAGGAGTATTAAGAAGGGTGAGATGGCGTTCCTGGGCGAGGCAGTGTAGAAGGCGACCTGGTTTGAGTGTTTGGGGGTAACCCCAGAGCCTATGAGGAGCATTAAAGTCACCCCCAAGGAGGATATGGGTGGTCGATGGAAGGGAGTGCAGGAATTTGCCAAGAGCACTAAACAAAGAGGACGTGACAGGGGGGTTATAAAATGACATCAGAGCGAGAGAAATATGGGTAGATGGTTGGTAATAGACCACACCAACTAAATGTTTCAGGAGGGGGGAGGGTACGTCTAGTGATTCAACGAGAACGTCATTGCGTACATAAATGGACGCAAGTGGCTTTCCCGTTGTAGCGTGATATGCACGGTAGCCTGGGACCGCAAGGGCCGCCCGAGTCTCCTGTATAAGGACAAAATGGGGTAATGTTTGGCGGGTGAGAAGATATTGGTGGAGAGGGGTCCTATTATGACGAAAGTTGCGGCAGTTCCACTGCAAAATATCGAGGTCCTTTTCACGCACCATCTAGGTCTTTGGAGTAGAGGAAGCGCCTACGCGTGCGCGTTCCTTCTTTTTTGCCGGGGGAAGTGACTCCTGCAGGGAGTTAAGCATATAGGTGAAAGATTCCAGTTGCTTAGATTGGGTTTCGAGGGTCGTAAGAATCCGGACAATTGAATTTTCCAGCTGGACCAAACGAGTGTGATGCGCAGTGGTGGTGGTTTCGACCATGTCGGCCAATTTGGTTACATGGGAGCTGGAGGTCGGGGCGGTGAGTGTAGTGAGTTGCTTATTTAGCTCCGTGAGTTGAGAGGTAAGAGAGGATGTGGTAGTTGCGAGTGTCTGTGTCAGTGCAAGTATTTTCTGTTGTAGCTCATCTGAGACGCGTTGTTGCTCGCGCTGGTTGCGCTCCAACATAGCCAGTCGCAGATCGAAGGAGCGGCTCTCGTTACTTGAAGATGGTGAAGGTGTGTTTGATGAAGAAGTGCACATGGGAGGTGTTCCCTTAACCTTAGCGGCGTATGAGCCCGGGGGGGATGTTGCGGGAAGCGATAGGAGCTCATGCGCTGAAGGGGAGGGCGGCGAAGGCTGAGTGGCTCGGCGCATGGCTGTGCGACGGAGAAAAGCTGCTTTGGCGCAGTCGCGTTGCTTAGCTAGAAGGTAGGGGCAGGTGGAGTCGAGAGATGAGTGGGTGTTGACTTGGCAATGGATGCACCAGGGTTGGGCGCAAACGTGAGCATCGGGATCTGCCGGTAGAGGAGACGCACAGCGGCGGCACTTGGCCGGAACGCTGTGTTGGGGGCATTGATGAGCACGGTGCCCTATAGCAAGGCACCGAGTGCAAGTAGGGGGCTTGGGTTTATGTGGACGGTATCGGAAAGAGACGCGTTTGAAGTAAACAAAGCGAGGGATGATGGTTCCAGCAAATGTTATGAGGACGGATTCAGTGGAGCCCATCATACGTGCAGCGAGTATATCTGAAGTAAAGGATTCGAGGTCATGCAAGAGCTGAGATGTTGTGAAGTGACCACCGACGTTGTGTATGACGCCGAGACATGATATTGGAGGACTGAGGGCATAGGGCTTAATGGTGATCGGCTTACCATTAAGTTCCAGACTTGTGAGGGAGAGTAGGAGGTGGGCAGTGAGAGGTGAGTGCGTTTTCAGAAACACAAGACTCTGAGCAGGTTTGGCTTGAAGGGTGACCTCCGCACTGGTCTTGGGAGAGAGATTTGCAGCGGCTGTGATGGTAGAAAGCAGGTCATAGAGAGGCAGTTTCGGCGTGAGTGTTCCGGGTGGAAGTTGGATTCCGACGGTGATGAGCTCGGAGCGGGGGCGGGCGGTCGAGGCAGGTTTTCGATTGGCACTAACGGTGTTCCAGCTGCCTTCAGGGGATGGCGTATTGTCTTCGTTGACTTGCGATGCCGTGAAGTCCATTTCCGTCGATAAGTCGCCAGCTGAAGTGATGGAAGGCAAAACTTCGGCGATGGAAGGAACGACGCTCGTCGAAACGCGCTTGTCGACAGACTCGGAATTTCCAATGGGTAGGCCAGACGCAGATAAGGTGGGGAGAGAAGCAGGCGTGGTTGATTGCAATGCCAACGCTGCATTACGGCTCTCGGGCTCCGGCGTTTGCGTGGCTATCAAGCTGAGAGTAGCAGAGACGCCACCAGCGTTGCACGTTGCTGGACCGTGCGCGCTGTTGAGGAACGCTGCCTGTTGCTGTATTGTTGTCGGCGCGGGGCTGGTGACATTGCCAGATGGTGACAGCGGAGGCACGGCTGTATCAGGCGTACGACCAGAGGAGGCTGGGCTTACCGACAGGGCGTAAGTTGTCGTTGGAGTCGAGTGCTGGGCGGGACTCTGCATCGTGGAGGTGCAGGCGCGGCGCGTTAGGGTTAGCGCGGCGCCGCGCCGCTTCGTACTTTTGAAGGGGCCTGGGGGGCCAGCCTGGGGTCGGACCGGGGCCCGGATGTTGTCGGCGTGTCCCGGAAGTCTTCCAGAAGGAATAGTGAGCTTGTCCAGACACGGGCGGGGCCCGGTAACGGGCCAAGAACACGTGAAAGTGGAGCACTGTATGCGGCCAGCCAAACAAAACGGCGCCTCCTGGCGGTCCCCCGTGTCATGTAACAACATGACTACATGCTACGCTTATGATGGGCTCGCGCTCGTTCTGCTAGCTTCACATATGCCGAATTTGATATTACGTGACGTCAATGGACGACGAAGGTATGTGACTGGTGTAAACATGATAATCATGAGATGCCTGTCATGTGAGAACATGACTACATGCCACAGTCAAGGCGCCAATACATTTTGATGTGACGTGATGCACGTGCTCGCTGGCGTTCATTTCATTGAGTCACGCCAGCGTTGCCATGCCAGGCGCCGGTCCTGCCATATAATCGCAGGCGCGCGCTGCGCTGCATTGCTTTGACGCATGCGCATTTCACCGCGTCTGGCGTCCCTCCGTCACGAAAAGAGGGAGACGCAGTGTTGTCTGGGTAACGAATTGGCACGAAATGCAACAGGTCGCAATTGGCGCCGGTTGCCGTCAGGCCGCGCCGACGGACGCTGGTCGCGCCGGTCACGCCTGGCGTCAGACTATAGCGTGCTCGCATTTTGCTAACGTAGCATCGCTGTGCTCAGCATGCGCGCGCGTCAACGCTACATTGGAGTATATTGGACCCTACATGATGCACTCGCGGCCGTTTTGCTAGCTCCACATATACCGAATTTGGTGTTACGTGATGTCAATGGATGACGAAATATATGACTGGTGCAAACATGATAATCCTGACACGCATGTCATGTATGAACATGACACCATAACACGCTCATAGCGTGCTCGCGGCCGTTTCACTAGCTGCACACATACTAAATTTGGTATCACGTGAAGTGAATAGATGACGAAGGTAAACGACACATTCAAACATCACAACCATGACACGGAAGTCATGTACGGCATCATTTACTTCCACCTCGTAACGTTGTGCTGATTTTAAAGTGGCATAACATTTCTCATTCGTGCTTCTCGTATTATCGATTCCCACTGCACGTGGGATCTGCTAGTTGTTGTTGTTTTTTATCTCACCACAGTTTACTGCTTTTCTTAGGCATACAATTACTTAATTGATTTGGCGCATCGATGCACTAAGCGTACATTGATCCATTCTAGGCGTGATAGCTTTCAAGAGTTTTGAATAGTGGCGCCACGTGGTGTACGTCGTTGTCGTAGTGCACCACGCGTTTTGGCAGCGCGATACATAAGTGAGACTGGAGTTCGCTGTTAAACTATAACAAAGTTCGACTTCGGAGTGTCGGGTTACGGCGCTCTAAACTTCCAGCGGCACTCTTCCTAAAAAAAGTTTCAAAACAGCCTTCTTATCCACGACGTAGTGAGTGAGATACACTAATAATGGCCTGGCAACTGCAGTAATGCGAACCCCTAGTAAAGGTAACACAATGGTATACTCGTGCCATCTCATAAAGCTTCAATGATCTAATACGGAGCTCCCAGAGACGGTATAGAGTGCCATGATAGCTCTCATAATACTGCGAACGACCTTTCTTCCACCATTTTATCTCCACCACTGCCCATGTCAATGACGAGGATAAATGTCGGCGAATTAAATTCCCACGATGGCCACACTATAAATGCTTTTTATCACTAGTGTCTCAATTGGCACTCTACGAAGCAAACGTGCAGTCGATGTAGCGTTTTCAAATGCATTCGGTATACTCGGTGGTCCGCATTTTTGTGTAGTTCGGTTGCTTATCGCGTTTCTGCGCAATGGTCCTGCGGATTATATATAGCGTTACCTAAATGCGTCCTTTTACTTTGCCTGTTTCTTGGCACGTGGAACTCTGCAGACGTGGGTATCGGCGTCACAGCACATGTTCCACAGCATTGGCCTCTCCGTGGGAACGCTCTCCTTCTTGGGCAGCCACAATCGGTTCGACTGGCCCATTCTAGGGTAAGGCGGCCTTGAATACACCCGCACACGAAGGCCGGAGCAACGAGAATGTAGTTTTACGTGTCATTGACCGCTTCGACGACAAGATTCCACCCTTACTCTGCACATTCATCCGATTAGCCCTTACTATACACGAGTACAACCTAGAAAAAAATGTCCCCTCCCTCAAAGCCATTGATATCCCTTCCAAACAGAATTTGTATGAATCCTCCATCTAGTAGCATTTATCGACATTCGTGACATCAAGTGCTTCTCGAATACCTTAGATGGTTGACTTTCTCATGCACTTGAGCTGCTGGTTTTAGGCTGAACTAAAGAAGCTTAACTACAGGGGCTTGTTTTTCCTTGTTAAAAAAGCACCAATAAAAACTAACAACCAAGTCATGGAGAGTATATCGGTATGTTTTTTTTGTTGTTGTTGTAATTGTCACATAACTCGCTGCTGGCAGGGACCGATGTGAACCTGCAATTTTCGAATAACACCTACAATGCTCTACCGATTGAGCTACGGCAGCGGTCATCCTTCTGTCCACTTCATCAGTTATATCTGTGTTTTTAACCCTGAGAGAATTAGCGCTGCTCGTAGCCATGAAGGTGAATGTGGAACACTCCTCTACCCCTCACGACCGCAAGCCTCGATTTTTTCATATTTGTCACACTGGCAAAATGTCAGCAGCTCATTTTGCGTCCTCGGAACCTTTTTTTTTTTTTCGGTGATGTAGTACGAAAGAGTTCTCCCATACACAGCCGCTATTTGCATACAAATACCTCAGAAGAGGAGCTGTCCGTGCCACTGAATGCTTGTAATTTACTTTGCCTTAATTATTTAGATTCTAATTACACTTGACAAGTTATTTTGTTCTGATGCAGAACGGCCGTCCGAATCACCACGGCGGACTTTTTATTCAGCCTGTTCGCTGCCTGCACCGTGTTCAGCATCTACGGACACCTGACTGATGCGTTCCCTGTGGAGATCATCGACCTCGCATCTTGGGGTGATTTAATTTAATAGTTATTTGCCGCACAAATTGCCCAAACAAGCTAACAGTGTGACCTTGCAAGATGTCCCACTCAACGTTCCCTCGTTATGTTTTTTAGCAATAAGAAACGATAGGCACAAAATTATTAACGCAAGTAAATTGTCAAATCAAGCCAATACCTCTGTTTAATGTGCTATATGAGCAAAAAATAATTACAGGGCCTACTAGGTTACAGCAACCGCGACAGAGCAAATATTGTCTCAACTTGCTGAACGAGCTTGGTAAAAATGCACAGCACATAGCTTTATAACGATTAACAATGAACAGACAAATAGAGTAATCTACCGTGTTTTCTCGCGTACCAGACGCGCGAGAAAAGTGTGTGCGTGCGCGCGCGTGTGCGTGTGTGTGTGTGTGTGTGTGTGTGTGTGTGTGTGTGTGTGTGTGTGTGTGTGTGTGTGTGTGTGCGTGTGCGTGTGTGTGTGTGTGTGCGCGTGTGCGAGTTTGCTTTGCTTCATTGTGCAGCTTCGCAATAATGTAAAAAAAGCAGTCACGTGGACAAGCAAGGATCTTTCTTTTTATTTTTATTTTACTGTGGTTTGTAGTTTAGGGTGCTGGTTGTATGCAGAGACAAGTTGTACGCGAGAAAATACGATAGCCAATGTGTACACGAGCGTCCAAAGTGTCACTGTAGTCAACAGAACTGTCATTTTCTACGTCAAAAATGACGCATTTAAAACTGCAGAAGTTTCAAGTGGAAGGAGGGTAGAACACGACTGTTCTTACTTAAAGTGTCCCTTCACGTGTGAGCAAGTGTTCTGCAGAAATTGAGGACTGCACTTGTACTCAAAAAAAAAAACATCTTACGTTACAAATGTTTGAAAGCCATAGTTTTAGTCAATCACCGGGCTAAACATACTATTAGCGATGCTGTCTGACCAATAGGAAAAGCCCCTACTAAATAAGAGACTGGTGAATATGGCCGCAGTATTCTCTATATCTCGCGCCAGAATTGTCCGAAATAGTGATTTATAACCAATCACCTGCTGCGCATATCATTACCGAACGATGGCAAGAAACACACGCCACAAGAATAATGGGCGTGTCACGTGTGAGCTTTATTAAAACAAAATTCCCAGATGCCCCTTCAAACAGGAAAGCTGACATATGACGTTGGCGCAGTCAGCGCTAAAAAGAACAATGCAAAACTCATCACGTGATAACGTCGCTCTATGACGTCACAGATAACCAAAATTTCTGACGTCTCTATGACGTCATGACATGGCTTAATCTGGTGGTATCACTTGACATCATAGCTTCGTGAAAGGTTTCATTACTAAGGAGGCTGTGCGAAAGCAGTAGATGTGCAGCAAGGTTGCAACATAGTTTCCTGTAAGTACAGTGGAAGGGACTCTGGCGCCAGTGTCTACTGGAGCTGCAACGCACGGTGCTTCAGCGAGCATGGGAACGAATGGGTACTACATGTGTCTGTCTAATTTTTAGCACTTTCGACATCGGGTTTTGCTTCGCGTGGATTGAAGTTGCTTTGTCACGAAACGACAATCGTCAAATGTTCAACAGTTGCACTTCGCTCTTTTAGGCTCACCATTTCAAATCGGGTCACGATGTTCAAAACGGTTTGTTCTCTAATCGAAGCAAAACCAAGACGCAGCAATAAACGAAGCTACAAGTGTGTTTCAGACACGCCAGCACAAAGACTAGACTAATCCGTGGGCTACCTAACATTCGCATGGTCACTGAACGATCGCAGCGCCAGAGTAGCCTCTAGTCTTGCAGGCTATAAAAAATCACGTCAGACCGGCGCAGAGAGATTTCGGAGGGGGGCTGGGGATTGTCAATACATTGATTGAGAACAAGAAAGAAAGAAAAAAAAAACATTCTCGCCTGTTGCCTTCCGGTAGTCTTAGGCGAATGGCGAATGCCGAAGCGATCTTGTGATTTATTTGCCCGTTACGATTTCACATTCTCTATCGCGAGGCCACGTGATAGTCGTGTTTACTCTTGCAGTAGATAGGAAACTTTTTCACTAATTCGCGAACCGATTGACAAGCCAATATAGTGATTCTGTAGCAACAAAGTATTCTATTGGACTGCGAAAGCTTGTAGAAACGACCTATATGCTTGAAGCCTCGAGGCCGGTACGTTGATGTGGAACTTTGCCTTCTAGGAACGAAGTACGCGTTCGTGACGTTCCCCGAGTGCGCCGAGTTTCTGCCGTGGTCGCGACTGTGGATGTCCGCCTTCTACGTCATGATAGCCGTCGGCACTCTTGGTAGTGCGGTGAGTTACAGGGCTGCATTGTCCTTTGTCCACCTATAGTCATTAAACTAAAAACAAATACTCCATTAATACACGTATTTATCATACAATGGTTCTTAATCTTGAACTAGCAAAGTCTGGCGAACGAAATGAAACAGACGGAGTATTGCTCCGCTTTATAATCGCATTTACGATACTTCTAAGACGATCGACACTCTACCGCAGTTACCACAATTTGAACAGTGCCAGTCCTGGCAGGCAAGGGCAGACGCTCAGTCACAGCCTTAAAAGTGACTGCCTTTGTTTTCTTTCTCGTATTAACCAACCCTTTCGCGCAGATGAATTTCTCGCACACCGCCTTCAATTTACAACCTTATCATTCTGCACTTGCCTCTCATTGTACGTAAAAAAATCCTCTAACTTTTTTCACACTTCTAACACTTTGTTAGCTCTAAACGACAATTTTATTCGATCAATGCATTGTACGCCACGAAAAAACCACCAAAGCACCCTTTGTCTCTTAAGAACAAGCATGAGATTAAAATTTGGCACACGTGCTGCCAATGACTCGTACTTCCTTCTTGCGCGTCCCTCTTTGTTAACGCGTTACATTACACGAAAGTGTGCCAGCGAAGAACGTATTTGCGTGTGATCCACGAATCTCCTTACCTTGTGCAATGACAAAGACCAAACATTCGACGTTTAACAGGGAACTGTTTTGTTAAAATTAATCATCGTTTAAATGCTCGTGCACATTCAAGCGATATACGAAAGTCAAATTGTGAGTGTCAGTAGTGTCAGCCTAACTGGGCGTTTGGAACTCGCTTCAAGCACAGTTGAGAGGCTATAGTTTAGCTTTCGTCTGTTTGCGCAGCAGGGTAATTGAGTTGCACAGCTAGGTAATCGAACATTATTCGTTCATTTCTTATCTAGACAGTACATTCTAATATGCTGATGTGCTTTTCCTATGTGCGTTATTTATTATTTGCTGTCCGGTACGTAAGTTTTTTTTGGTATGTGTATGTTTTTTTTTTCTGTCAAGCGTGAACCCCAACCGCAAATTAGGGCGATTCTAATACGCCCTTCTCGTTCATTTTCTTGCCCTAGCCAGCACTGCTCTATAAAAATTATTACTGAAATATTATTGTTAGATTATTACAATTACTGTTGAACCCAAACACACTGTTTATAAAAGACACGTTACATTATAAAGCCGTAAAAAATCTTTCATTGAAATTTGATCGACTTGTCGAGATTAATTTGCCTGGAATAGCACCCACACCATTGATACGCTGTTCCTACAATGTTCTCTTATCGCAGTCCTTGTCCTTCGCCACCGCAGCGTATAGCTTGGCCGACCTGCATCCTGCGTTGTTTGAACACCGGACCTTTTGGCTGGCCATCAGCTGCGCAGCCTGCTTCGTAATTTGTATGCCGCTTAGCCTGCTGGTGCGTATATCGCACGTATACTGTATAATAAATTCCAACGTAGGATGGTATGGTGGGATTAGAACCGCGAGACTGAAGTGACTAGAAGAACTTGGAAAAGCGCGTTCGGCCGGCCTTCTCAAACCATCAATGGTATAGTTCCCCACTATCAGGGTCGTAGCCAAGGGTGGCAAAAGAGGGGGTTAATCTCAATGAAAATTTTCGATTTCACTTGCCTACATATACGCACATACGCACAAACGCACGCACGAAAATAACATGGAGTATGGTTGAACCCCGTCCGATAAAAAAATATGTATATTCTGGCTAAGCTCCTTAACACTGTCGCTCAAAGATACGTAAAAGCTGCATCTTATCTATGCAGCAGAAACCCAGAGGCTCGCAAAGACGGTTCAACTTACACTCGGGGCGATTCAGCGAACCACGAAAAGGAGAAAAAAATATAAATGTAACCTTCAGGGACAAGAAAGAGGGCAGAGTGGGCCAGAAGACAAACCTGTGTCAAGACATCGTACGCTCGAAATCAAGAAAAAGGCAGGACATGTTGCGAGAAGTCAAGATGACTGCTGGCTGTATTTCAGTGGAGAGGCGAGGGCCAGGCACAAAGTTAAGATGGCAGGTTTAAGAAGTTTCCGTAGATAATGCGACCGCATCAAGCACAGGACTGGGTTGATTAGAGAACGTGGGACACGCCTTTGCGTTGCAGTGGGAGTTATCCGGCTGATGGTAGTGATGTTGATTTATCGTATGCTGTAATGTCATGGTGTGCATATCTTATTCTCCATCAGCTGTGCAGTTTGTTTAGGAATAAACACAGCGCTTGCTTCTCTGGTACGTCATCTTCGCGTCACGCGATTTGTTAATGCATACTGTGGCTCATTGGCTAAATAAAAGATTAAGAGATTAAGAGTAACACCACGGCCTTAAGTGGTGTTAATGAATGAAACACTAGAGCGGAGATGGACACCTAGCAGTGCATCTTTCGAGGGACTGTCAAATAGCAAAAAAGAATAATAAGAAAACGATAAACTGAAGTCGGAGTTTGAACACGCGGTAAATACAACAAAGTGGCTGACTGGGCTTTAGGTTTAGTATATACTTAAGGTTTAACATCGTCAAAAGATAGACGGCGGACAGGAAAAGTGCGGGACAAGCGCTGACCTCCAACTAAAGTTTTATTGACAAGAATGTTGTTAATATACATGAGTGAACTGAAATAAAAGCGAAATAGTGACAGATGTAGGGATACGAATTAACCTCAAGTACGATAAATACAATAGCGAAGGCGAATTTTATTCTTTGTGGTGGTGACAAGTGCGTCAGCCAGGTAGCCCAGGCACCTATAACGTTGTTGAAAGAGGCTGTGGATTTCAAGCGCTCATACGTGCTATCCGAGGGGTCTTTTCTTTCTATACTTCTTATTCTATAGTTTTGTATCTCTCTCTCTCTTTTAAAGAACATAGTCTTTCTTGGAGCACTTCGACGCAAAACCTTTGGTCTGTCTGTCTGTCTGTCTGTCTGTCTGTCTGTCTGTCTGTCTGTCTGTCTGTCTGTCTGTCTGTCTGTCTGTCTGTCTGTCTGTCTGTTTTTTCGCCGAAACGATACCCCAAACGGCCAAAATCCAACCCCATGCGCAGTGCCCACCTATATTGCTCAACTTTGAGCGTTCATACTTGTGCAATTGTCAATTTAAAAGCAATTATTGCGCATATATGAGGCACAATAACAACACTTCAATATTCTGTATGTGTGTCTTTACGCCAAAAAAGGCATACATACGTAATCTATGGGCAGTAGCGTTTATCCCGCTGCCGCTGACAATAAAACGCTATGCTCAAAAAGGCAAGTGTTTTCAACGCTTTGCTAAGACGACAAGGTGATGGCACCTATCCTCCACTTTGCGATCTACACCTTATCGCCTCCGAAACAGGCGCGCACGCCTTGTTTTGTTTTCGTAGGTAACTGCCAGAGAGCGCTCGTGTCTTACGTGCCCCGATGCACTCGTCCGCGTTCGCTGGCACGGATCGAAGCATCCTTACGCAGCGCCCACAAAATACAATTCCCGATTTTCTCGCGCAGAACATCAAATAAACGTTTTATCACTCTCTCCAGGTGCAAGATTATCGTCTTTCGACGACATTTGCAGTGAAACATGTAGATACGAGGCCAATTTTTCTTTGTCTCCAAGCTTCGTCTTTTGTTTAATTCTTTCACTAAATTTTAGCGCCATCAACGCCGTGGACATAGGCTGAAAGCCAACGCTGTCGTATGGTTACTTCACGTCTCGTCGTACTTAGTACGAAACAGCACTAGCTGAATGCATCTAGAAAAATTGACCGGACATCTTGTTCAATGCGCCACGCATAAGCGAACCCATTCATGTGTGGATGAGCTCGCGGGAATCTGTCGTTCTTTTTTTTTTCCACTCTCCGATAGGGCATTGTGTCCAACTTTCGTTCGCCTGTGTCGCACGCCGTGTACACAGACATTGTTCCGTGGATCGGTTTCGCTGAAACCATCACCGTTGCCTACGCCTACGGTGAGTGAACTCAGAAGTCCTCATGAAACGGGATGATGCTTTATGTCAGTCAAGTTAAACGCTTCTCGAATTTAAAATTAATAGTTACCTCAGACGAGCAGTACAAAGGAAGTACTGTACTGCCGTATCGAAACGCAACAATTCAGGACTAAGTAATGAATGTACACACGCGTCCACTGTTAAAGAAAACACCTGATTCAGTACACAGAATGTTTAGACTTCGTAATTTTACGGAAACATAAGCGCTTACATATGCATAAGAACACGGATGGTTGGAAGTTCTGACTCCTCTTGACACACTGGTCATGTTCATGCGAGTGTTCCCTTTGACAGTGAACGGTAGCACGTTAGTTTCCAGCGTCTACAATTCATTTCATTTCAGCGTAATTCCGATACGAACTCGTACACCAGAGCCAGCATTAACTGTATCAACTAGACTTGCAGTGGCCTAACCCGGTTATCCTGCCCATTTCTCACAGCAGTTGTTAATAGTTATAGTATGAGAAAAAAAATGATTAAAACCTCACGTTGTTTCGACTCATAATTACTGTACAGACTAAAAAAAGCCGCCATTTAGGGAATTTTTCTTTCGCACAACAATAATTGTCGTTTGACTTGACTTTCCTCAAAACGTTGCACTCGTTGTTTACTGAACAATAATTCTATGGAAACAATGATAGGATGCACTATTAGTAGGCTTGATTTATTGGGTGCGTGAAGCAAGGCACCCAAAGTGCACCTTTTTTTAGTAGTGTATCACGCGATAGACTTCATGGTTCTAAACGTACTTGTCTTTGTGAAACAATAATGATGAAAACCCAACGACAATCATTTCAAGGAAAGTATGGCGGTATGTTGCCTGCAGTAGGTATGATTTAAATGTGCGGACGAAAAGGTAACTTGCCGCCGGCAAGGAACGAGACTGTTAGCTTCGAATTACGCGTCTGATGCTCTACCAACTGGACTATGGCGGCGCCATCCATTTTACGGCGTGTATGTGTCTATTTGAACATAAGAGCTTTATTCAGCGCCGATCATGATCGCCGCTTACACTCCCGGGCTTAAATGCACGCGTAGACATGCATGTGTCATAAAATTGACTGGGGCGGGGGGGGGGGGGGGGGGTACGATGACAGCTGCCACAGCTGCAGCATCGTGACGCGAATTTGGAACGTCGCAGGTTCATTCCCTGGCGGCGGCATGTCATCTTTTCGTTCACCTTACGTTCTCCACAGTTGCAATACATTCACCACTAATATAAACGAGAACTCACCAACAATTATGCCAAGGAAAGTATAGGAGATGTTATTAGAAGTAATTGTAACGTATGTGTGAAGAAAGAAAGAAAAAAGTGGACGAAAACATCACTTGCCGTGGGCAGAGACCAAACCTGGGACCTTCCAATAACGCGTCTGATGCTCTAACAACTGAGCTACCACGACGGCTACCCCACTTTGTTTGTTGTATGTAGGTACATTACAATTACTTCTAACGACATATCCTATACTTTACTTGACATAATTATCAGTCAGTTCTCATTATTATTGTGTCCAGCAAAGAAAACTAGCACTTAAAATTTACCCTTTTTTTTCATTTCTTTGTGAATTATTGTGGTGGCAGCACAGAATCGGTGGTATACGTATACCAGACTAAAATGTTCGTGGTGATTAAATATGGGTGTTAATTTATTCGTTACATTTGGGAGGAGATATGCTTCATCTTTCTTTTTGTGGATGCACATAATAGAGTGATAAACATAAAACCTAATATTGTCAACGTTCCTGAACATTTGCTATAAAATTCAGAAGGCATGAACAGTGGTGTATCAAACTTTCTAACTGAAGAAAAAAAGTTTGAGACAATCATAAATGCTATAGAATTAGCATAGATTCTAAAGTTATGTCGTGAATACTGAATTCTACAATGAAGATGAAAATATTTCAGATGCAATAAAATGTTAAAACATTTCTCGCCGCATACAATGCCGATGATCATTCGTTTTTTGTTTTTTTTTTTCATTTCGCTTGCTCTGCAGGTCTCGAGCGCTTCGCCGACGACGTGTATTTCACTTTTAACGAGCGTCCGCAAGTCTTTCTTCAATTCTGCTGGCGCTGCATCTGCCCGACTACGTTAATGGTATGCAGCACGAGGTTAATATAACTGCACTGTCGAAGACGCAGCAAAGAATCAGAAGGTCCCTCATAGCATTTACCTAAGGCGACTCGTTGGCGAGAGGCCCCCGCTTTCTTCTTTTCTTCGCAGTCGATTGCATTCACTCCTGACCGTAAGTGTAAAGCACCCAGCATGGTTTGGCAGCGCCTCAGGCATTTGGTTCACCTTTGACTATGCCATCCGAAAGGGCACACGCGCGCCCGCCATCTCGGAGGCCATGCTTTGACTTGTAGAGTTTACTATGAGGAAACTAGAAGGAACTCCAACGCTGGTGTTTGTGGAAGCTGCACCGCATGGCACTGCAGCCAGCATACATGGGAATGATGAGTAGTACACAAATCCGCCTAGCCTTGCCTATAGTCTTCGTTCTTCTGGCTCCGTGTGGCTCCATGTGGTCTGAATCTGCTTTGCCAGAGTACGAAGTTAATGCGGCAAACGTTTTGCAATGACGCTTCACCACGTTCACCTTTTTAGGCCTACGAATTCAAATCAGCTAACGAAGTTCACGACGGCTCACTTGTTATCCGAAACAACCAAAACACAAAAATAAACAAAGACTTAAGTGTGTTCGAAGCCGCGAGCACGAAGACTATGATATGGGCCAATTCGTTTACTACTCACCATTCCCATGGTGGCTTGAGAGTCCCCTCTAGTTAATTTTAGGAAGCTCTATGCTTTGACCAAACGGTGGTGTCGCGCGCCTTCGGCACAAATGGTGCAGGAAAGAAAGTGATGACGTCATTCTATGACGTCTCAGGTCATCAAATTTAGCGAACTCACGTGGTCGCGTCTTCGCATGACACAGTCACTGGGTCAAAGGCATAAAGTGTTCTAAATATACACTAGAGGGAACTCTGGCGCTGGTGTCTATGGCAGCTGCGACGCGTTGCACTTAGCGAGCATGGGAGGGTGGTACACGAATTCGCCTAGTCTTCGTACATTACGCTCCTTTTGGCTTCACGTGGCTTCAAGCTGCTTTGCCACGAAACAACAATCGGCAAATGTTCTGCAGTTGCGCTTCGTCACCTTAATCTGTTAAACTTACCATTTCAAATGGGGTCACGAAGTTAAAAAGGGTTCGTTCCATTTTTTTAACAAAACTTAAACCAGCAACAAACAATGTCACAAGTTCGATTCACCGCCCGCAAGTACGAAGACTGTATGGTCGCTGAAGGATCGCAGGGCCAGGGTCCCCTATATTTAATTTTAGGAAACTCTACCGTAAATGGTGGACACGATCTCGGAGGCACTTCAAAATCACGAGACGCGCACGAGGTTTACAGGGGGAAATCAATACAGGAGAAAGAGAAGGTAGTTTGCGTGAATAAAAATAGGCGTGTGCACGGGGAGGGAGAGGCAGGGGGGCAGCCACCTTTCCCCGTCATATAAAGCATAATGCATGGGGAAGGGGTCTATACTCTGCCCCAATTCTACCCCACTCATTTCCCTAATAGGGAAGGGAGCGCTGCGATGAGCCTTCAGCCCCTTTGAAGGCGAGCCTGGACGCGTTTATGTTAAGTACAGTACTCACAGATTGAAATGCCACATTATAATTTTCAGCGCAATGCTGGTATGCGCAATGACTCTAGATAAACACGTCACGTCGCGACGAGCTTGTTCTGCAAAGATAATGTTCAGCTCTGATCTACTCGTTCGAGTTGAAATTAGGCCGATATAACCTGAAATGAATACAGTGGTAATGGAAGTGTGTGCATTGCTTAGCCCTAAATGATCCTGTTTCAATCCGTGAACACTGTACATAAGGGACCGTATGAATTTGTGTGCCAACTGGCAGAACCAGGGCCAACAGCACATGTCATTCTACCAATAATGTAACACGTCACGTGTCTGATCAGGTCATGTCATTTTTCTGCCATGTGATCAGAAGTGTTGCTGCTACGCTCCCAATAAAGACACTGAAACGCAAGTCGCAACGCCTCTGTCACCACTGAAACCGGTGTAGTCTTAACTCACCCGTGCAGCGATTCCACTTCTCTTTCGATGATCCGGCCGCGTTCGTATAACACCACAAGAGTTAATCAAACCGGTCCCCATTTTTTAGCAATATTTTGTAAAGAGCGCATGTTTCGTAACTATTGAGGCAAACAATAACAGGATCACAACAGATCAAGACCGAACAGAGGGCTATCGTAACTAAGAGCTGAGTGTTTACTGCACGTGATCGCATTTCTATGCACTAGAGACCACTCGAAAGAAAAAAAATGGCAGCATATCCACGGAGTGAATGATGGAGAGGGGGGCGAAGCATCCATCTGTCCATTCATTCTTGCTTCTGCCCGTCCATGCGTCCGTCTGTGTGACCGTCCATGCGTCCATCCGCCCATCCGTGCGTGTGTCTGTTCGCGCGTCCGCACGACCATCTGTACGTCCGTCCCTGCGTTCGTCCATGCATCCACCCCTGTGCCCGCCCATGCGTCCATCCATCCGTGCAGCCATCCGTGCAGCCATCCGTGCGTCCGTCCATACACCTGTCTGTGTGTCCGTTCGTCCATCTGTTCAACACTCCAAGTATTACCATCTCACATCTTTTCATCACATATTCCGCCTATAGAAGCACCACCATCCTGCGGACATTCCAAGGACTAAAGGAGAGGCGGCGCACGCCCACTTTCTTACGGCTCGCGCTTCGTGTCTACTTCCCACCTTTAACCACCTCGAGTTCATGGTATATACTAGTTCACTGTATTCATGGCACTGCGGCTCAACGCTCGCTAAACCTTTCTAAAACCAAGGAGGTTACGCCCAGCGAGTATAACGTAGCAACCCTTTCTTGTCAGATAGTGCTCAATGTACATGCCGATGTCTGCTTATGGGGAATGAGAGACAGGAGAATTCGGCTTATAGTTAACGCGCACACTGTGTGTTTTTTTTTTTATTGTTCAACAACGCACAGGAGAAATCTCCCACCGGCACCACCTTGCAGGTCAAAACGTAAGACTGGTTACACACTACAACTACTACGAGGGACGAACGGGTGCCGCTTTACGGAGCATCGCCCCTAAAAAAGGCGAAGCATATCACACAAACAGCTGATGCGCCAAAAATAGCACTTCCTCTTCTGCTAAACAGATTGGAGGGCAACTTGTCACATTTCTTTATTTAATATCTACCCTCTTGAACAATTTATTGCGTTATAGTTGATCCCAATCGTTGGTCAGTGAATGCATATGGTTGCACTGTGGCTTCCAACCGCAACGCGCACAACGCGCAGTGAAGTGACCGGAACGCATATACATGCGATCACCGAGTTGTTAGTTAAGCGCCGTGTCCCGTCTTGATCTGTTATCGTGCGAATCTTAGCGCTGCTGTTCCGAGTTACGCACAACAAAATAGCCCATCAGTCTCATCTTTTGGGAATATTTCATCTCGAAACGTACTGCGCGAGAGCTATGCGTGTGCAACGTACACTACCTAACCGATGCACCTTCGCTCTTCTCGCAGCTCATGAGTTTGGTTTCGCTGGTTGCAAGAGCGAGCTTGTTGCGCACTGCACCGCCTGGGTCCGAGTGGGCGAACCCGGTCATCATGTTCGTTTTCGGCTCTGTCATCGTGATCGTCGGAGCGTTTGTGCTCCACGCCCTGGCCGAGAATAAATACGTGAGTGATCACCCGTATATACCAAAGAGGTAAAAGGGGGAAAAAAAGTGGCCGAGTCAGTATTGGGAATTGCGGAAGAGTGGCTCTCTATAACGAGGACGAGAGGAGATGTCGACGCAACCCAAACACCACCAAATGAAAAGCTGGTTGTGGAAACAAACGCTCGTGGGTCCGTAAGGCATGAAGATTCGTGACTTCTAATGCGAAAATGAGCCCTTTAACCATGACTTTCTCAAAAGTAACAACAGTCTTTAGGTACATTCTTTTAAATTTTATTGTGGCTCCAATAGGGTTGTATGACGGGGACCTCAAAATGTGGTAGAACAAGCATAGGCTTGCACACGAGGAGAGCAAAGAGCCCCTCCTCTTCTCCATAGTAAGCTATGAGGGGGCGCAAAGCCTGCCCCATGCATTGAATTGATAGGGAGAAGAAGCTGCGATGAACATTCGTTTCCGTGAAAGTAACCCCGCGCACTCGCATGGGAACATGGATGTTCTGCCACAATTATACCACGATGCGCTATATAATTTCCCGTGTCATTGCCTCTACCCATCCAGTGCCTCATTTGTGCAGTTCTTCGCGATATGCGGAGAGTAGTGTGAAGCTACAGAATGTTACTTAGGCAAGAGTATCCGTGGGACATGCCCCCAGCATCTGCATCCTGATGTGTGAAGTGGTTCAGTTAACATGTCGTAGAAAGCACAGTGCGCTGTTATGACCAAATGAACTGCGTTAGTCTTAATCGGCTGAACGGTTCTTCCGATACAAACAATTCGTACAGCTTCGTTTATCGGCAAATGCCAGTCCGAGTCTCCTGAACTAAGCAAGATTTATACATCGTTAATGCTCAACCATGCTGAATGCTCTGGCAAGAACCACGCTGCGATTCGTTTTATGGTGGTAGTTTTTATTTTAGCCAGATTTTTTCGTGATCACTGATAACGAAATGTTGTGAACTGCGCTGTTATTGCTTAAGCACACATATTTGTGAACCAAATGAATGCACTTCCATTCATAAACCTGTTTTCATTACAATTATTAGATTCGACCGATAACTAGCCACACATGCTTGCGGCAACCCTGTATCGTGTATTCATTGGCAATAAACTTCACTCGACTTGACGTCGCCGGCCGGTCGGAGCCATACGCTCCTTTAACTACACCTCCGAGCCACAGTAAGACAGTCAGTCAGCATCGTCGAAGACTGATTACTTCGAATATCCTCGCAGGACCTGTACGCAGCCATGGAGCCAGAGCCGGGCTACGGCCCTAAGGACCCGGACCAGATGGCGCGGTACGTCGCCTTCCTGGCGGAAAGAAACGCCCTTCCAGCCGGGAGACATCCTCTGTCGTCCTCGTCGAAGGCCAGTTTAGCGAGGCCTTCGATGGCCCTCGAGCACGCGAACGAGGAATACTTCGGGGCTCAATATACGGAGGTTATCGAGTCCGCACCCACCGTCAACGATAAGTCGCCCGACGTGATCGCCAACTTTCAAAGAGCGAATGCCGCGTCGGACGCCTTGGTGTTGCCGACAACCAGCACGGTTCCCACCACCGCGACGGGGGACACTTCTCGAGCCACGACGACGGCGACTAATACGGCCCTTGAACCCACGACGGCGACGACGCTGAACGATGGGAAGGACACTTCGAATACGCCGGATCACGTAGATAAAGTGAACAAGCCATAGAGAGCGTCCAAGATGTAGCTGCGGCGATTCCTGCTGTTCAGCTATTTCTTTTCATTGCCTTTTTCCTTTGCGTTCACCTAAACTGCTGAACAAAAGAACTCGCGCGTGTCACTGGGTTTTTAAATGGTAAACCAATGCAGTATAAGCGTACCAACCAGTACCGAACTTGTGTCATCAGTGCGATACACGTTCAGCGATAGCTCGGATTTTAAACGACGTGAAAAACTGCTACTGCGATCCATCGTGAAGGCAGGCTAAACAACGAAGCTGGTGCTTTTCTCCGTTACGCCATTGCTTTTCTATGTACTGTGATTGTGTTTACTTTATCAGGCTATTCTTTATCGGTTGTCATGTTTTACGGGTCTTTCTTTTTCGCGATCCCCCAGTATATTAATGTCAAAGCGTCGCTATTAAAACATACGAAGCCAATAACAAGCATCAAAGTAAGATGATCACTGCGCAAACCTCTTATGAGAGGGAAATTTATAACCAGCCATTTATATAGCATGAGGCCGACGGAACTTCATTTTTGCTATTTAGAAGCTTCTTACGAAAATAAATTGGAGTTTACCTGTGGTTCTAAAGAGCATAGATGAATGTGGGTGGTATATACCGTAGTGGGGCTTAAATAAGAGCGGTGTAAAAGTATTTGTGCAGTATATATATTGCTCCGCGGCGGTGGTCTAGTGGCCAAGATATACTCGGCTGTTGACCCGCAGGTCGCGGGATCGTATCCCAGTTGTGGCGAATGCATCTTCGATGGAAATGAAAATGTTGTATGCCCGTGTTCTCAGATTTGGGTGCACGGTAAAGAGCCCCAGGCGGTCGACATTTCCGGAGCCCTCCACTACGGCGTCTCCCATAATTATATGATGGCTTTCGAACGTTAAATCCCACATATTAGAAACGTCTGCTGTCGGTCTAGTTGGTGCATAACTAGGGAAAGAGTGTTTCGGCGCTAACCAGGAGCACAAATAAAAGAAAATATACGGATGAGCCCGTAGTCGCAACGGAATATTCCGGTGCCTTGCTTCATAAACTTCAATAATGCATACAATGCCACTACTAAACAGCTTGCATTATGTTGAAGACAGTAAACACATCGGGCGCGATAAGAACACAAAAACAAGCGATGGCGCGTGACACGGAGATCAAGGTTCTTTTTTGCTGGAATATATGACAGCCTCTTAAACTCGTTTCACTTTCGAATGAAATCTCCGGATTTTACACGTCATATGTTCTATCATCTGGAAAATACATTGTTCATGTTTGTGTGTTTTTTTTTTGTAAGCGTTGAATTTCCGCCAGAAGTATTATTTACCTGGTCGCGTTAAAAAGCGCGCAATTTTTTGAAGTCATCATCGCTGTTTCTACTTTACTTAAACGGACCAGCCAATATCCCCTGGCAGGTGTCACTTTCTTTATTGTCATCGCCATTACATCATGTTGACAAGTGTAATTGTAGAAGTAAAGAGAGCAAGAGAGAGAGAGAACAAAAGATCTTAAATGTGAAGCATTTGTCAGCGAACCGAAGACACTTTGACCGTCTATATCTATCACGTTCGTGTGCCACATCCCCTCATAAAACAGATTTATTAGGCAACAGCCTATTAAAACACAAATAATTAAGTAATTGAAGTGGAATTCTCATGAGCTCAGAGAATCCAAGCTCAGAAAGATGCTGATTACTCCTAATCAAGTCGAGTCTCACTTACCAAAATATAAATTGAATTAGCCTTAACATTAATTATGAATATTACTGAATAATGTGTGTGACATCAAAGCCCAACGGAAGGACTCGAGTTTGATGTCGCATAATTATGCAAATCACGCCTCTATCCACCTAACAAAGACATCTGTTGCTGTATAAAACGCTTTTGAGAGTAAAAGTATTTAATGCAGTGTGCTTATTCACGTTTGAATAATTTCGGCTACATTAACTTTGACTTAACTAAGCTCATTTAGGTGCAACTTGGATTAGCCCCACAAAGGCAAGCTGGTCTGAGAAAATTTAATTTTGTGTGTTTGGCTTAGTCAGGTTGTGCGATGTTCGCTATGCTTACTTACCCTAATCAACCGGTGTCAATAACAACGCGAGCCGGCGCTTGAACCAGCCCCATCACAGCCGCTGCGTAAAAGAACGGCGCAGATTCAATTGAGCAAAGAAAGCGACACCCAGTTGTCGTTTTGGCTACGAGAGCCGTAACCGTGTCCAACAGAGCGATATGAGAAGCCGAGTGGCAAGAAGGGACGCGCATGCGCCCTCCAACAGGTGTCTCGTCGTGTCTCGTCGCTAGCTGGCGCGTCGATGCATTCTGGCAACGTGTCCTCCGCATAGTCAAGGCTGCCCCAGTGTGCTGCGAGTTTCACGACCTGAAGTCCTCTTAACGAACTGTTGGAATTTGTTAGATTTATTCAATCAAACACACAACCAGCACCTCACCGAACTATTTTTAAAGATAGTTGTCTGCGTATTTTGACGTGGACGCCGCTTTATCGCAGTCCTGTAGGTGCGTAATAAAACCCTTTTAAGTTTGCTGCTCCGCAGTAAGACTCTTTAAAGGTGAACCCCGCTTTCCAGTGGCGAAACTCACCGGGGTGTGGGTCGTTCCCTCGTAATAGCAAGTTGTAGTGGTAGCCACTTCTAGTTAGTTTAAAGAATTGCTGACTACCTGGCGTTGTGTGTATGTCTGTAAATATTATCACTAGATGGCGTTAGTGGTTTTCATATAATTGACGATTAATGAGGATAGATTGCTGACTACCTGGCGTTGTGTGTATGTCTTTGTAAATATTATCACAAGACGGCGTTAGTGGTTTTCGTATAATTGACGATTAATGAGGATATATTGCTGACTACCTGGCGTTGTGTGTATGTCTCTGTAAATATTATCACAAGACGGCGTTAGTGGTTTTCGTATAATTGACGATTAATGAGGATATATTGCTGACTACCTGGCGTTGTGTGTATGTCTGTAAATATTATCACTAGATGGCGTTAGTGGTTTTTGTATAATTGACGATTAATGAGGATAGATTGCTGACTACCTGGCGTTGTGTGTATGTCTTTGTAAATATTATCACAAGACGGCGTTAGTGGTTTTCGTATAATTGACGATTAATGAGGATATATTGCTGACTACCTGGCGTTGTGTGTATGTCTTTGTAAATATTATCACAAGACGGCGTTAGCGGTTTTCGTATAATTGACAATTATTTTTTAATCAGGATAGATTGCTGACTACCTGGCGTTGTGTGTATGTCTTTGTAAATATTATCACTAGACGGCGTTATAGAGGGAAGTGTGGCGCCACCGTCTATGTGAATTTCTTAGGGTGCCCCGTTAGAGCGCTGGGAACACGGAGGCAGAAAAGATAGGAGAGGGCATGCCCAGCCGGCGCGCTACATGAAAAGTGTGGAGGAAATGACATCATGGCGGCCTTATTCACTGGGCACAATGGCGGCGTTGCTATAGTTACATGTTGCGCAGTGGAGCTGGTCTAGGAGCATTCTTCCACCGCGTCTAGGAGTGAGCGGCCGTGGCTGGCGGCGGCATGTGTGCCTCCCCAGGTCTCGTGCTGAGCCATGGCGGACAATATCCGTGCTCTGCACCTCGTTATTGGTTACGCAGTGTTCTCCTGGCAGTCACTAGACTCTTAGCAACGTTTATGAATCATTGTGTCCATCACGGGGTTTCAACAGTGCGTTGAACGAGTGCATATTCATGCGTCGTGCGGCGGATGACGTGGTTGAAGCAATTAGGGTTCAGCGAAATTGCGTTGGGCACCATGACAAAGCGGAACGACGACGAACGCCTTGCAGGTCAGTGACGGTTGGGCAGTGCTCCTGCTTGTGACAACGGACGACGCTGTTGAGCCCAGCAAGACGCAATGAGGAATGTGCACATATGTAGTTTCGTGTTGTGTGCGTACAGTAACATGTTGCATGTGCGTATTAAAACACCTTTTTCTGTTCCGCTTCGTGTACTCTCCCCCAGCATTGCATGTAATCTCAATATGACGGCAACCGCGTTCAAGTGTCACTTGCACGGTGCTCAAAGTCACCATGGTCGCAGAATGCTGACGCCGGTGAGTTTCACGCGGAACATGGACACAGTGGCCGGACGTTGCGTCGGCCGCGTGGTGGAATGCAACCGTAGAAGGCGCACGACTGATCGTGTTGTCTGTACAGTTGCCGAATTAATGACGTGAAAACACTCGCCGTTGTTAGTGCATCTAGCGCGCGTTCTCTTGTACTTTCTTCGTTGTCGGTGAGCGGTTACTTGCTGTTAATATTCGGACGAAATGATTTCGCCGAATGTGTCGCGCTGGCCCAAAGTGTTGAGCCCCGTTCTATTAGTTTCGAATTGTCATGACACGCGCTCTGCACAGCTTACGTGCTTTCCGAGCCGGAGAAAGAGTCGTGCCTTCTGCTTTACATTCGGATGTAAACAAGAAAGGAGAATTCGTCCAGTCAATATGGCCGACTTCCGGCTTCACCGCGGCTTCACAACGAGTGGCGTCAGGGCCTCTCCTACATTTTCTTCCTGCGTGGCTTGGAATAATGAACCTCCTTGGCTGGGAATGACGGTATATGTGCCTGCGAGGCTTGAGTTGGCTGTTATTGAGCGAGGCTTCGGCTCGAAAGCGAATACGACTGCTTTTGTAAGTAAAGCTTCTCTAAAACGAAAAGTTTATAAAGGATCTCATTCACGCGTATAATATTCTAAAATAAAAGTCCACTTACCTTGACGGCACAACCATACGGCGAAAGGGGCGGATGGAATGCTCGCTTTGTCATCTGCCTGCCAAGTTTAGCTACCATTAATTACTACTTACAGTCTGTAAAATTGTACATCGACGCAGACGCTTTCAGTCTTAAATAAAACACGTTTCCGTGCAATGACAAAAATAAAAAAGCGTATAACGTGTTTTTTTTTCCGTAAAAATCAATTATTTTAACGTGAAGCCAGACGCGTCTTTGAGGTATACAAAGTCGAG